GCCCTGTCTCAAAAAGCAAAACAAAACATCACACACACACACACACACACACACACACACACACACACACACACTCCAAAAACAAAAGCCAGAAGCCAGATGCAGTGAATATGCCTATAATCCCAGAAGTCTGGCGACTGAGGCAGGAGGATCACTAGTTCGAGTCTGTACTGGGTAATTCTGTGACTTAGCAAGACCTTGTCTCAAAAAATTAAAAAGGCTGGAGACACAGCTTAATACAAAGGCTTTGGGCTCAATCTCCAGTTCCACCAGCCCCAGCCCCCGCCAAACCCCAACCACCACCGCCACCACCACCAAACCCAGGGGCTCTGGCTCTGGCTCAGTGGCAGAGCATTTGCCTAGCTCGTGGGAAGCACTGAGTAATTAAGCTGTCTCTAGCAGGAGGAGGGGAAAGGAAGTGGGGGAAGGGGAGAGAGGAGGAGGAAGGAGAAAAGGAGGCAGGGAAGTAGTGATCACAAGCCTGTGCACAATCCTGTGTGTGTGCGTGCACGCCTGCACACGCATGCTTAAAATTACCCGGGAGACAACAGATACGCGCCTTGACAGAAGCTCCCTGGGGACCTCTTCACAGCGAGGTGGATGGGGTGGGGTGGGGTGGGGGTGGCCTGCACTCCTCACTTCATGGATTTCCATACTGTTTAAGTACGTTCATCTCGCAGGTGTGACTTTCGTAACTAAAGATTTTAAGAACTGACTCAATTACTTTGAGACAGACTACAAAGCTCCCAGTAACTTACAAGGTTTCCTACACTACACAGTAGAAGCTGCTGTATGAGAGCTTCGGGGCTGCTCTCTGCAGATCTGCAGGGTAGTTTCCCTGTGACCTCCGGAAGGAGAAAGGCTGTGGCTCGCTGGAGACACCCTCGGGGCTCCCAGCTGGCAGGGAAGGTGGCAGTTACACCACCAGCCCCTGGATCTGCCACCACAACGCTAATTGCACCAGTAATGGTTTCTCTACTGCACCCCATAAATCCTGCTCCTGTTGACTTCATGTTGAGGTCATGTGCCCAGTTTGAGAATAAACGAGGCCTTTTTCAAATTAAACACACACTGCAACCTCCCAGTTCCACTGGGTGAGGGCGCTGGCCCGTCTGCACGGCTCTCGTGGGGGCCCTGGAGGACAGGCCTGGCTGAGTGCCCCGCAGCTCACGTGTGCGCACCTGTCTCTCTCCCCTCTGTCTTCGGGTCTCAGCACCCAAGGGGCAGTGAGCGGTGGAGGTGACTCTGCTTCCACACAAGCCTAGGGGCTGGCAGGGTGGGCTCATGCATGAGCAAGCGCATGTGCAGCGCTGGGGATGTTTAAAATGGAACCGTAGACAGCCACTGTCCTGCTGGAGCCTGCACATCCCCACGGGTGATATACTGACCTCAGAAACAGGTGAGTGGGAAATAAATACAGGGCCCCTGGGCCTTCTCACAGGGACACCACTCCTTGTTGGTTGTGTGAGGCCTCGACTCCACCCTCCAAGCCCTCAGCTCTCTGAGTGCTGGCTCTCCCTCAAATGTCCCTCGCTCTAACTGCAGCGAAACGTACTGCCCTTGGCCTGGAAAACCCCAGCACCCCGGGGGACTTTTTCTTAAGGCGCCATTCCTGAGCTGACTCCCCAGGCAAAGGCACCACTGAAGTCAGGCACACGCGGGTCCTCAGGGGTCACGTCATTGCGGCAGGCAGGTGACTCTTCACCCTAAATGCTGTAAGGCGCCCCCTGTGCCAGGACTTAGGGGTCAAGGAGGCCAGAAGGACGAATGGGCCTATGCAGGCAGATGCTTGGGCTTGGCAGGGCTTCCCTGAGGCACTGTCCTTTCTGACTACAGAAGGACCATGCTGGAGAGATGGGGACCTGGACGCAGTTTGTCCTCCAGGGGAATGAAGAAGCCCTGACACCGTTGTGCCGGAAGCCTCGGTCCAGTGTGGGACGTGAGCAGGATGGGACCTTTAGGAGGGCCGGATGGGTGTGGTCAGGTCACTGGGGGCACAACCTGAAAGGAGTGATGGTTCTCACAGGACCAGGAGTTCTTTGAGCCAATGGCTAGGTCACGACTGTCCCTTCACTACCCTCTGGCTTCCTGTCCGGCCATGAGAGTTCTGCTTCTATACCCCCAGCCACGATGACACACAGCCAGAGCCCTCCCCAGAGCTGGTACTGTGTCACCATCTGCACAGTCAGCTTCTACACAGTGCGCTACACAAAGCTATTCTGTGGGCCCGGCCTGGGTAACAGCAGGCCCTCGGGCTCACTGAGACCACCAAGCAAATGTGGAAAGCTTTCACACGGGTGGGTCCCGGTGCAGCTGCTCGGCACAGGTAATGCTGTGACTTGCGAGACCCTGAGACCACCGCCCTCCAGCTCCTGCCCTGCACCACCAACCTCAAGGGTGAGCGGCTCGTCGGCAGCCTCAGACGGACTTCGCCGCGCAGGGTTTTCTGGTGACGATGATGCTGCGGCCCCCGTGCAGTCTGCTGGGATACTGACGCCATTGGTGCCACTGCTGGGGACTGTGGGAGGAAGGACAGTGTCCGGCCAGGCCTCAGCCCCTCTACAAGCCACATGTTCTTAGGTAAGAAACAAAAACAGAAAACAAACGCCTCTATCTTTATTCCAAAAAAGAACTGTGTGACTTTTCAGTGTGTTTAGAAGGGTTAGTGCTAATTACCGAAAAATAAACAAAATAAAAGGAAAAATACTGTTTTCCAGTACTGGAGACAGACTAAACATGCACATGCTAGGCAAGGGCTTTACCACTGAGCTGCACTTCTACTGATTTTTAAATTTATTAGCAATTTCAGGCACGGTCTCACTCAAGTGTCCATTCTGGCCTGGACCTTTCATCTCTCCCGCCTCAGCTTTCCAAGCAGCTGAAATTGCAGGTGAGGACACTTCTTCATGAGTTTTGTGAAACCAACTTTAATAACAAAATACTGTATGTGTTTTTTTCTTCCTTTGCAGTGGAGGATGGGCTGGGGCTAAGGCACTGTGGCGCAGCAAAGCAGACAAACAAAGACACACATTTTAAAAACCTGGCTTTAACTGTTTAGAATTAGATTAAAATAATTTGCCACGTAATTAAAAAACTCTGCAAAACTATGAATCGGCTCCCTTGGGCTGAAGGCTGAGTCGCTTCTGATAAAGTTCTGAGTTACAGGGGAGACCAAGAGGGAAGAAGCTCGTTAGTGTTCAGAAAACTAAGGATTAGCTCGAAGCCCCTCCATGTGGGCATGCAGGGAACGTAGTTTAGGAGTCAGGGCTCAAGGCTGGCAAGTAAGATGAACATGCTGTCTCAGCAAAATGACCCTCAGGTGGGTACGGTGATGAATGCCTGTCGTCCCATCACTGGGGAGGCTGAGGCAGGAGGACTGTGAATTCAAGCCCTGTCTGGGGAGCAGAGTGACACCCTGTTCCAAAATAAACAAAAAAGCCCTGGGGATGAAGCTCAGTGTGAAGAACTAGGGCTCACTTTTTTTTTTGGTACCAGGGGTCAAACTCAGATCCTTGAGCTTGTGAGTCAGGCATGGAACCACTGAGCTAAATCCCCGGCCCATGGGTTCAATTCTTTTTTTTATTTATTTTTTATTTTTTTATTTTTTGTGGTACTGGGGATCAAACTTGGGTCCTTGTGCTTGCGAGGCAGGCGCCAGAACCACTGAGCTAAATCCTCATCCCATGAGAGATCTTTTTTAAAGGGCCAAGGTGGCATGGTGGCCCGCTTGGCGGAAAGGGGAAAAAGGAGAAAGAGAGATAGAGAGACAGAGGAAACGGGAAGGGGCTTGGTTATATATCGGGTGACTGGTGTAGGAGGGTCGGGGATTGTGCTGGCTGCACGGGCAGCTACTCAGGGGCCACTCTTGGACATTTATTTTCTATACAGACAAGCCTTGTTCACGTGCTGGTCTTATGACCGGTGATGTGTGGGGTAGGACGTGGAAACTTTAAGGTGAAAAAGGAAGTTATTTATCGGAATGGGAGCAGCCAGTACTCAATTCTTAATACCACAAAAAACGGGGAAAAAAAGGAAGGAAGGAAGGAAGGAAGGAAGGAAGGAAGGAAGGAAGGAAGGAAGGAAGCAAGCAGGCAGGCAGGCAAGCTCCTTAGTCTCTCAGATGACCAGCATAGCGGCTGGGCTGAGTTCCGCCTTCAAACCTGAGGGGCCAAGTCTTCGTGTCCACAGAAGGCGGCCAGCTTTTAAGAAGACAGGAACGGACACAGCACGTTCCACCACAGGTCACACTGCTGGAGTGGGGCTGACTGAGGCCCACCATCCTCTACTACCAGACCAGTCGTCCTGCATGCCCCCCTGCCGAGCCCACATCTCTTACCGGTCTGTGCCAGCGCCTTGGGCTGCGGGGCCTGCAGCACGGCTGGGCGAAGCACGCTGCGCTGCTGCTCCTTGGGCTTCTGGCTCGGCAGACCTGGGATGGAAGTTGGTGGTCCTGGGCCCAGGCCCCTGTGGGAGCCCAGCAGCTGGCCCACCCAGGTGCCTCCAAGAGAACCGACTCAGTGACCTGTGCTTGGCCCCGTGGGCTAGATGCACAGAGGGAGAGGAACTTTCTAAAAAGTCCTGAGCCCCTTTCCTTACAGCTGGATGCACAGATCCTAGCCTAATGTTAGGATGCTCACTGAGCGGCAGCTGTTCTCACGTCTCACATGGGGCTGGGCTCACATGTCAAGGGGACATGCAGGGGGGAAGGCGGGAACTCTTGGAGACTCCCAGAGATTTCTGACTAACGCAGCTGGGGCAAGGACTGAGTGAGGGGTGTCCACCCTTGCAGGCTCTCCTGCCAGCCCCGAGCTCCTGGTCTGGCCCCTGGAGAGACAGAGAGCCGGCCGTGCTGTGCCACTGCCTCCACACCGAGGCCGCTCCTCTTGCTGTAGTCAGAGGGCCTGGCTCCCTGGTCCCACGGGCTCTCTGCAAGTGGCTTTCTGGGGCTCCATACTGGGAAGGTATGGGAAAGCCTTCAGAGGGGGCCACCTACCTGCACTGGGTGCCTGGCCATGGATCAGTGTTGGCGGCTTCAACCGGAACCCGCTGCTCTTTTCCTCTGCAAGCACAGATGAAATACTGTAAAAAAGGCAGGTCTGTCTGGGTCAGGTGGCCGAGCAGGTAGGGTGCGAGGCAGGACCCTGGGCCTGAAGAACTAGGAGAAATGCTTTCACATTAAACCAGTCTGCAGAGGCCCTGGAGTGTCAGGAAGCCACGGAGCAGAGGTCTGGGGGTCTGCCCACCATGCCCAGAGACAGCAGAAGACAAGGCAGCGGAGGCCTGCTCTTTCCAGGGGCGCCCACACAGCTGTGCAGGGACAGCACTGCTGACAACACGGAGCCCAGAGGACGATGAGCGTGCAGGGCTCAGGACTGCCTCGGGAGCCTGTCCTGGGAGCCCTGAATCCGTGTGCCTCATGACTGTCTATGGTGGGGGTGGTGGTGGTCCAATCCCATCCATGACAGGAAGGAGCATCATAAAAGGCCGGTCTCGTTTGGAGGAAAGTGCAGGGACAACACAAGACGGCACCTCAGGCAACCTCCCTTTTGTGTTAAGAGTCAAACCTTGTCAGGCCGCAGGGCACTAGACCAAGACACAAAAACCAACCCTCCTTCTATACACTAGTGGTGAGCACTCTGAAGTGAAATAAAGTAAACAGTTCCACTTACAGCAGCCCCAAGAGGAATAAGATACTTGGGGGAAAATTCAACAGAAGAAAACTATAATATAAAACAGTTGGGAAAAAAAGACTTGAATAAATGGAAAGCATGCCAAAAATCTGAATGCTGTATGAATCATGGATAGGAAATGTCCAGAACAGGCGAATCTTGAGACAGGAAGTGGGCTCGTGGGTGCCAGGACCCGGGAGGCACAGGGCTTCTTATTGGTGTGACAGGAAAGTTCTAAATCATGGTAACAGTTAGACAACTCTGTGACTATACTCAGTCACTTGACTGCACACTAAAATGTGTCTGGTGTGACCCAGCGGTCACACAAACCACCACGGAAAACCCACTACCTCAGAACACGGTGAACAGGCGCCGCCAGGCGGTTCCCCGCAGGAGACAAATGTGGAGGTTTTTTTCCTTCCAAAGCACAGGGTCAAACAGAAGGCGACTGGCAACTGAGATACATTTTTAAAAGCTGAGGTCAAATTTACAATTTAGATAATTTTCGGAAGCTCTGAGAGCTGGCTGTAGAACGCTTAGGTCTTGGCTACAGAATGCCCTTTGGCAGCCTGCTCCGTGTGGAGCCAGTGCTACCACGGCCAAGCCTTGGCCCGGCCCGCTCTGCAGAAGCGCAGGAGACCCACACCCAGCAAGTGCTGCGAGGGACTGACAGACAGATGAGGTGCACGGCACTTGTCACGGAGGCTGGACACTGAGAAGGGGACCCAAGACAGTCGCCCGCCTCTTCAAGTGCTCTGCTCTCGCTCGTCACAGAAAAGCCTTCTGTGAAGCACCAGTAGGGTGCCATGCTGCCTGGGGCTGGACCTTCATACCCACCGTACCTCGGCAGCCAGGACAAAGGCACCCCACAGACTCCCCAGAGAAGACCATGCCCAGCGGGAAGCAAGTGTGAAGAGAACGCCCGATTCCATCAGGAGCAGGCGCTGGGTTAGCCTGGCTCAAATCAGACGCTGAAAAGCAACCAAGAGCGGGCAGCCTGGCTCAAGGTGTGCCCTGTGGAAGGCCAGGGCAGCAGCGGTGGAAGGCGCTGGGGGTGAGGGAGGGGAATTAACACACCAGAGACCCGGGATAAAACCAACTGGTCGGTACTGGACAGGAAGCTCCGTGTGGCCTGGGGAATCTATATGCTCGGACAGGCAGGCAGAGGGGCAGCGCACATAGGTGGAGATGTGTGTGCTCCCAGCTCTGCCACTGAGATGCCGGGGGGAAGCGACACAGCCAAGGCATTGAGCACCCACCTTCGGTTCCAGGGAGCAGCCACTGTGACAAAGAACCAAGGCCCATCTGAGGAACGACAGGGATTCCAGGGCTGGGACAGGGAAAAAGTTTGGGACCTTTTGCCAGCAGAGAAAGTGACGGAAACGCTTTAAAGAATGAGGACCTGCCCCAGGGACACAGAGAACAGCCCGATGGGGCTCCTGCTTGGCCAGACCTGGGACAATCTGAGCCCACGCAACCGCACTGCACAAGTCAATGGATGAGAGTGGGCTTGTCCTCCCAGCACAGAGGCAGGCCAAGTCCTCACGTGCACAACAGGGCCACGAGTCCTTCAGAGAGAGGACAGTGCTGAATGCAGAGCAAGGAGGTGACCAGGCTCCCTGGAGTCTACCAGAATTGCTTCAGAGTTCTAATCCCCGAGGAGAAGCGGGAGCAGGTGCACACAACTGGCGTGACTGCTGAATTACGCAAAAGGCCAACCGGACCACACTAACCAGCGACTATCATTAACCCTGTCAGGAGGACCAGCGAACGTGGAGTACACACCACACACACCCAAGATGCATTCCCTGGGTCTAATCCCCCGGGAATGCTGGACAGACAACCCAAAGGACATCCATCTGCCAGAGACCGTGCTGCAGCTGTCCCAGGCACAGAAGGCACAGGGAGAGGAGCCACTGCAGACGGAAGGTAAGAAACTCTCACGTCCCTTTGCTGTGGAGAGGTGGACCCTAGGGGAGGAGAAGGGAAAGGGGTCTCCAAGTAAGAGGGACACGGAAGGACTTTACGAGTCCTCTGTAAGCGTTAGATTTTCAAAATTCAAGCTAACGCAGAAGAGAGGTAGTGGACAAGGGAGGGCATGAAGCTCGCTTTGTGGGAGGCCTGACACATCTCCGTGTGCCCACAGGTTCAATGGGGAGCTGAGGACTTTCAACCAAGGCGGTGTCCGGGCCCTGGGATGGCTGCCTGGCTCCTAATGCTGGAGGAGGGCACAGGCTGGGACAGCTCGGGGGCGGAGGGGGGCTGCCGTTTGCCTGAGGCGAGCGCGAGACTGCCGCGTACCACAGCCCACAGGGGGGGCCCCTCTGCTGCCGCCACCGATCACCTGCAGAAGAGCCAGACTGCTCGGGGCTCAGGAGCGCACCTGCTGCCCCTCCTCAGAATGAGGTCAGGAGTCAGCTGCACACAGTGCTGCTTCGTGAGCCAAAATGAATTCCACTGTTCGAAACGGTACTGTCAAATCGATCCTCAAAATTACACAATGTGCCTTGCCTCTGCCCCCACCATTGCCGTCACACAGCAGATGGCTTATCTCAGGGTGCTTTTGAAGTCAGCGGTGGATTTATACGAGGCAGGCCGGGTACAAGATGCGGGTTGTTAAACTTCCTCATTAAATCTTTTACGGGGAATTTCAGCCATGTGGGAGAAACTTTGAGGAAATCTTGGAGTTGGTTCCGTAAAGAAAGACCAAGAAAGGCAGGCTCCGAACTCCGCAGAAGGGACTAAGCTATTTCCCTCAATGTTTTAAAGTTCTATGAGATAACAGATCGAGGTGATGTTGATGTGAAAACTGAACACGTAGAAAAGGGGTCTGGAAAAAATCATATACACCTCCCAGCAAGCTACCTTTGGGATGCAAGAGTGAGCAGGAAGCGGGCAGGAGATTCTTTTACATTTACATTTTTGATTTTTTTTTTCTTTTTTTGTACCGGGGATTGAATTCGGGTCCTTGTGCTTGCAAGGCAGGCCACCGAACCGCTGAGCTAAATCCCCAGCTGATTTTTTTTTTTCTTAACAATATGAATATATTACTTGTGTGAAATTTGAAAAACAAATAGTATATCTTTTCAGTTACTAATTAATTTATTATTAAAAAATTTTAAATGGATGTCAAACTCCCTACAATCAGGCCTTGCATGGAGAAACAGGTGCTGGCGGGGCTTGGTGAAGCCCCTCACTCTGGACTCCAAAGCTAAAGCTGAAGGTTGGGGGCGACACACGACATGACACAGCGGGACTGACAGCGAGCCCGGACTGCCATTGCCCATTCCCACTGAGGATCTACAGGGACGCACACCGCAGCGCCCGAGGGACGTGCCCGGGGACGGGGAGGGGGTCGCAGAGAAGCAGAGCACACAGAGGCCCCCTTGACCTCCGTTCCTTCTCCACAGCCTACCGCCTGCACCCACCTGCTTAAGAGCTTTCTTCACGACAGGGAGCTTCTAATAACCCAGAACTCGTCAAGACCCAACTGAGCACTGAGGGGAAAAGGCGGTCAGGGCAGTGCGAAAGCAGCGCTTCCCAGATACAAGGGCCACTTCTGCCCCCAACTCGGAGGACTGAGAGCTGAGTACTGCACAGGTGCTGACACAACGCAGAGGCCCCTCCCCCACGGGGACACGGTCCGAGGCAAAACCAACCATCGGGGGCCCAAGCTCCTCATTCGCAGCGATGCTGTCCCAGTGCCCACGGATCCTTCAGAAAGAAGACGTCACCGGGCCAGGGATTTAGCCCAGTGGTTCCGCCACTTGCCTCGAAAGCGAAAGGTCCTGAGTTCCATCCCCGGTACCAAAAAAGAAAAAAGAGGGTGTCACTGCCACCTGGACTGCAAACCATCGGGCAGCTACCCACTCGAGACCTCATGTGGCTGTGGGCAGGGATGCAGCAGCGCCCTAAATCAAATCAAATGGCTACAGGAATGAAGTCCAGCACGTTAGAGGGACCATCCGAAAGGGATGACTCTGAACCAGTCCAGTCCTGTAACACACGCACCTCTTTTTGTGAGTAGCGACTACATTGACAAGGTATTCCCCTCAGGACAGCCACAGGGTTCACAGCTGTAAAGGCTTTAGAGGAACTTCCTAGGGATGGACTTCTCGCCGGGGAGTTACAGGACACACGCACCTCCAAGCCGGCACCACAGACAGCTGACACAGGGACCACACGATGGTGGCAGTAGGGACATCAAACCTGTGGGGGTGCCTCACAGATGGAGGCGAAGGGCCAGCTCTCTGAGCCTCCCACTAAGTGACCTCAACTTCTCTCTCTACCCTGGGAACCTGCCTCTCCTGCACCAGCTTCTGCCAGAGCCTCAGGCTGGCCTGCAGTCCTTCATGCCTATGCCTGTCATCCTCGGGTCCCCCTAAGGTCACCAGGCCTCTCAAAGGCACCTCAAATGATGGGAGTGAGGGTGGGAGGGAAAACAGCCGTGGGGTCCAGGGATACTCTACCCCCTCTACCTTCAAACCTCGGCAATATCCAGCAGCCTTGGAGAGAGCTTAATTTACAGCCCAGTCCCCAGAAGGCTCTCTGCCTTTTCCTTTGTCGTGAGGGGGAAGACTTCAGTTTCTCAGCACATCACATCTTACCACACCACCACTTTTTTGTTTTTTGAGACAAAGTCTCGATGTGTATTTCGGGCTGGCCCGGAACTCATTATGTAGCCTAGGCTAATCTTGAACTCTTGGGAATCCTCCTGCCTCAGCCTCCCAGGTGCAAGGATTACAGGCGTGCACCATCATGCCTGGCTTCTCATTCCTGATTCTAAGCAGACCTGCGGGGTGAATCAGTGGGCAGGCGCACAGCAAGCTCAAGGGCACACATTCAGTTACCTGACTGTGAAGGTGGAAGCTGGGTTAAAGAGGACGTTCTTTCTCGTTTGACAGGAGGACAGTAATTTCCATCTTCTCGGTCAGAATCTATAGCACAGAATGAGAGGAAGAGAAGAAACGTCAGGCTCCTGGCAGCCTCACCTTTCAGACAGCCAAGGGCTTCAGAGACTTCCTTACCTTCTCCTGCTTCGGGGCTGGAGCCTCCAGCTGACCTCTGAAATGAGAACAAGCAGGTCATGAGGTAAAGCACCCAGAACCCATGGCCCCGGATCTAGCCGGCGGAGCCCAAGACTCAAGGCTGATGTGGATGCTCTACCCACTTCCCCAGCAGTGCTGCACCCACAGCTCAGCTATCACCTTGAAGAACCTTCCTGCTGGCTTCCCCAGCCGTGTGCCTAGGACCCTCCCTCCTTGCAGCTTCTTGGGTCAAGCTGATGGCGTACCACCCTGCTATGAAAACACCGTGCAAAGGTTGTGCCCCACCCAGAGCGCCACTGTTCAAAACGGGTGCCTGACCACATCGGAGCAGTTCCCCCTCCAGCCCTGGTAGAACAGATGATTTCCAGAGCAAGTGAAAGCTTTGATACTCGGGGCCAAAGTCTGCTGTGAAGCAGCCAGAAAACAAAGCTTCAAATCCTGCACAATCCTACACACCAAAGGACAATCATAAGCACAGAGACTGGGGCCCAGAACCACTGCTTTTCTAGCTTGCAGTGTTTTGTTTTGAGACAGGGTCTCACTATGCAGTTCAGGGTGGTCTTGAACTGTGATCCTCCTTCCTCAGCCTCCTGGGTGCTGGGATTAAAGGGCTGTACCACCATGCCTGGCCTTCCAGACTGTAGTTTGAGGACATGAAGAACTAGCAATTAAGTTTAGAAGCAGGGTGTCCCTCCCCCAGGGCCCTTCCACAGCCAGCTTTGCAAAGGGACGCACGCTACTCCTGGATTTCTCTGCCGCCAGCGAGCACAGGAGCCACGTGCCTTGTTTCGGAGCAGCTCTTGGAGGTCAAGCCTAGCCACACGAGGACCACCTGCCTCCCTGAGCTGTGGGGATTAAACGAGTGTGTGAAAGTTGCAGCTGCAATAAATAAAAGTGAAGACGATGGCAGCCAGGAAAGATGTTTCCCAGCCGGGCTGCTGGCATGTTTTTCCCATAAAGGGCCAGACAATGCGTTCTGGCTTGGCGGACCACATTTAGTTTCTGCCATAGTCTTTGCTTGTTTTCATAATCCTCTAAAAGTGTAAACACTGTCTTAGCTCACTGGCTGTACAAAAGCAGGCTGTGGGCAGGAGTGTGCAGCCTCGAGAGCCCGGAGCAAGAAGAGGCTTGCCTAGAGTCACACAGCCAACTCAAAGATAGCTGGAAAGGATCCCAACCTGGACGCTGGACTCTCCTCCCCAGTGGGAGCTGACAGCCAGGTGTAGCTGGGAAAACAGACCTGGGCTTCCTGCCTGGTATCTGAGTTCCAGGAGCGCTCAGGAAATGGCTTAGGGGAGTGTGGCTGTGAGATGAGGGGCAGGAACCACCAACCCCACGTGTGTCTGGGCAACGGGAGGCTCAGAGGTCACCGGTACCCAAGTGCCCGGGAAACACAAGGTCCTCGTAACACTACGGGAGCTTGCTGGGCTGGGGTCACGGTGGGCATGCCAGACTCTAAAGGAAATGGAGGTCTGTGTCCAGTGGGCTGGGTTGAGGGGGCATGGAGCAGAGGCTGCAGCTCACCTTGAGGGTGGAGCACAGGCTGCCCCGTTCTGTCCACACCTCCAGGGCGTGTGGAGCTTCACCAGTGGATTCTGCTGTTCCCCCTCCCCCCGGTATTGGGGATTGAACTCAGGATCCTGTGCTTGCAAGGCAGGTGGTAACATCACTGAGCTAAATCCCCAGCCCTTCTGCCGCTTCTTACAAGGTACCCTTACCTTGCCCTAGCTTAGGTTCCCTACTCGAGATGTGGGGATATGGCTGTGTCTCCCTGGCAGACACAGGGTGGGGGGTGCTCAGCGAGATGATGCAGGCTCAGTCTCAGCCTGGGACCTGGCACACAGGGCAGTAAAGCTCAGCTCCCGTGTGATGACAACTGCTCACCGCTCACAGCTGGCCTGGCCACATTCCAAGCTAACTCCTTCCGCGACATCAGACCCCTGGCTATGTGGGTTGGGCTTCCAAGTTTGGGGCACAATGATGCCATGAAGCCAGGGTCTGGAAGTGAGTCCTTGGTGCAAGCAGGTTGAGGACCCTTAAAGCAGATTAAGAAGAGGGTCCCATCCTGGGACGGTGCCACACTCCAGCACTTGGGAAGCGGAGGCAAGGGGACACCATGAGCCTGAACTTAAAAGAGAGACCTTGTCTCAAAAATCCAAAAACAACAATAACTACATAACAAAGAGGGTCCTGGCCAGGGATTTGGCTCAGTAGTTCTGCCACCTGTCTCACAAGCACAAGGTCCCAAGTTTGATCCCCCGTACGAAAACAAACAAAGAGGGTCCCAAGCCCAGGACTCAGTGTGGGGGGTTAGTGAGAGACGATTTATTCTGCAGCACTGGAGATCAAACCCGGGGCCTTTGCCCTGAGCTCTATCCCCAGGGATTTTTCAATTTTTAAAATTTTGCGACAGGGTCTTTGTAAACTACTTGAGCTTGTGATTTTCCTGACTCAGCCTCCTGGAATGCTGGGATGACAGACATGCACCATCATGTCTACTGAGACACACACTCCTACAGCGCTCTGAGGCCACAGAGGCCAGAACCCAGAGTGGAATCTGCTAATGCATGCTTGTGTCACTGGCTTTGCCTCTCTTGGGGTCATCTCTTTTCCCAGGTTATATCACAGGGTACAGGCCCCAGGAACTGCTCAGAAGCGTATCGGTAAAGGAGAGAGGAGCAAAGGGAGGAAGGGACTGCCACACTGCCACCTGCCCTGGTGCCCGGGAGACCCAGTCACCCCACCCAGCCCCCACGGCTCTGAAGTGACACAGGCTACATCTTCCTCATCCCATCCCTGTGGCTCGCTCTGGTCTCCCAGTGCTCCATGCAGGTCCCCAGTGGGCCTGTTCTCCTCAGAGCCTCCCTCCAGCCCCACCCTCACCTATCCTCCTACCTGTCCCTAACGGCGGGCCCAGCACACCCTCGCCCCATGTCCGGTCCCGTGGCTCCAGGCTCCTCTCCTCTCGTAACTCCACAAACATCCCGGCTGTACTGATGCCCTTTCATGGAGGCCTCCATGGTCCAGGGGACCTCCCCGCTTCCTGAGTGACTGGGACCTCTCGGGCCTGTGTAGATGACGCCCAGCCCCACCCCATGACAGCTGTCTCCCTCAGGCAGGAATGACCCCCTCGGTCACATGGTCCCACGGCTCTTTATGCTTTCCCTGCGAGGCTCTGACTGCGACACTGTAATCTGCGCCAGGTCCTCCACACAGCGGGCACTCCCCTGGACTTTGTTCAACGGGAGCACGTGGCCCCCAACACTGCAGCCGTGGGGAGGCAGTGAAAGCTGTGTCTTGCCTTGTGGCAGAAATCACACACAGTCACATCTACATTCATACGGGCCAGGGCCCCAGCGCTGCTGGTCCCGAAGCTTCAGCTATTCCTCAGCTCCTGCAAGGAATTTCCGCCAGCATCATGACCTGGTTTGTGGCTTCTAACTTATTTACCGTGGCTGGAGAACCCACCTTGTTTGGAGCCATGTGCCTGAGAAAACGCATCCTGCTGTGGCTGCTGGTGGCAGTGGCTGCCTGGGAAGCCAGTTTCTGCGTTGCTGAAGTCCTCTGCTTCCTTACCCATCTGCTATCAGTCACCCACAGCGGGGCGCGCATGGCAGCTGTCATGCTGAAGCAACTGTCCGTCAGTTCTGTCGGTCTCTGCTCTGTGGTGTGCTATGGATCCTTGCTCAAGAGCAGGGTGGCCCGTTCTCAATCTGAGGCTGCTGCGCTGCAGGTCTGGCACAACCTGGGGACCAGGAGTGCTCCCCCACCCTGGATCCCATCCTCCTCTGTACTCCCGTCTCAGCTCAGCCCCTGCACACATCTTCCTGGTCCCGCCTCCGCCCACCTGGGCCACTGCTGGTACCTCCAGCTGCCCCTGCCAATGGTCTGCTGCTCACAGCAGCCCTGTGTGTCCGATCCCCCCTGGGAGAGGCCCTGATGGCCTCCTGCATCGCTGCTGGTCACCACGCTGGCCTCCCTCATATTTGCTGAACATGTTGGCTCTGTCCTCTCTCGGGTGCTCTCCCTACTACGCCCTGGGGTGCTTTCCCTCCTGGCCTCCAAGGGATGAGACAGTGTCCTTCAGGGTTTGCAGGCTGTGGCTGCCACCCGTACAGTTTTGTCCTAGCATAGGTGGAAATGACCTTGCACATCCGTCTGGTATCTCGTCTCCTTCTCTGATATACTTCTGATCTCCAATACCCAGAGTTCTGGGCACAAAGGATGCTTGGCAAGGATCTGCAGCACTGACAGGAGCTCATGTTCCCTATTTACACCCTTTAGTGACTCCCAGAAAGAGGCGTCTGGCCAGACAAGGCTCCAGGTGCTCCTGGGCCTGACCTCGGGAGACCCTCAAATCTGTGTCCTATCTCTTCCAAGCTCTTTCAGCTCACAGGAGATGGCATGTCTCTCAGTCCTGGGCAGACAACACAGCAGGCCCACCTCCCTGGAACCTTCCAGGTATTGCCAGAATCTCCGGGAGGAAACCGCTGCCAGCGATTCCTCAGTCGGCACCAGAAGAAAAAAGCGGGGAGCTGGAATCTAAGACGTCCTGCCTGCCGCCTCCAGTCACACTGTCTCACCTGGAGACCTCCACGGCTGCCCAGAGATGCCACTTACGTCCCTCCCACCATCTGGTCCCCTGCTGGAGTGGTGCCGCTAACCGTCAGAAGGCTGAGTTTGCTGTCTGCTGGCCTGTGCCACCTCCAAGGCAGGAAAAGGTCTGGGGTCAGGACCTCCCTTCTACCATTCTGGCCCCAACAAGGCTGACACCAGCCCCACAGCCACTTTCCATTTCCTGTAGACCCTCTGGCTCAAGGCAGTGGGTTCACAAGGGCCCATCTACAGCAACACCTGGGCTGCACACAGGGTGGGCTGCCCCGAGGCCTGCGGCCCACGGCTCAGCAGCTACTGAGATGGAACGTGTGAGGAAGATGGCTAAGAGTAACCCAAACTTGGCGACCACTGTGAGGGCTAGGACTCCAGGACGGCAACCCGGAACACAGGGTCTTCCGTGCCAGTTTGGGGCATAGTGATGATCGCACCAAGAAGCAGAGGACCAAGAGGATCCAAGAGCTCCCTTCCACTTATTTCTTTGGCACCAGAAGGAACACACCAAGCAGGAGCGCCTGCATGCACCTGCAGTCCAGCTGGAGTTGACCACACACCATGGGACAAGTTGTCAGTCCTGCTGGCAGAGCGAACACTAGGACCAATGAGGCCTCTCTCCTGGGAGACACTCATACCTCGGGGAAGCAGCTGAGCTCTGGAAGGTACCCGAGTCCCCATCACCCAGTACAAGATGGGGATATCACATCCAATCCATTCTCTGTCTGAAGGGCTGAACAGTGAGCAATGTGACTGGACATCAAGAATTGCTCTCTCCGTAAACAGCTCTTGAGGCTACCGGGCATGGCCTTGGGGAGGCCTAAGGAGACAGGCCAGGCTAGCTCAGGGAAGGGAACCAAGCTAGAGGTTGCTGTCAGAGGCTGACTCTACAAAGAGGAGCAGGCAATGAGCAAGAAATAAAGCCACTGTCTTCCTGAGCCCCAGAAAAGGCCAGAAAGCACAGCTCGGCCAGATAAACCCTGCAAGGAGGCAGCAGCTACTACTGGGCCTGGCAGAGCCTTGGTGGATCCCACGTGGACTGACCAGCTAGAGAGCCAGCTGGGGCTCTTGTGGCTGCAGGAAAGTACAGTCTCAGATGGGAAACGGGCTCAGGCCACTTCAGGGCTGTTAACTCTGTCACCGGGACAATCAGCTCAGAAATGCTTCCGGAAGAGGCCACCCCGAGAGGTCTACATGGGGGGCAGGGTGTGTGAGGGTCAGGTCCTGTGTGGCAGCTTCAGATGAGTGGCAGCCCGTCTGGCCAGGGGGCTCATTCCTGGCCCTTCCGAAGCTCCCTGGTGGGCCCAATAAACATACTCAGAGCTCGGCAGCCCCCTGGTGTGGAGTTCAGTCCTGCACAGTGCTAGCAGGCGCACCAAGAGCTCCTTGTGCTTTTTTCAGCATCAGACAGAGAACTTGATCCACGTGTGGTTTGGTTGTCTTCAGGCTGTCTTCTGAGAGCCAGGAAATCTGATGTATAGGCCTTTTCCTGGTACTGGGTCCTCAAAGGCCCGTGATCTAACCGGACTGAAAGACGTTAAGGGCCCCTTTGTAAGGAAGCCGCAATTTGTTATAAAAAAATGCTTGGCTTTACATTTCCCCAGGGATCTCAGAACAGAGAACAGGCCCCGTGTGATGGATGAGACCTGCTGGAGAGTGGTACGTGGTTTCGTAAGCTCCAATGCAGGGCAGAGCAAAATCAGCTGTTTGGGTGCAAAAGAAACAATGCGAGTCCACTAGAGAAAAACCTTGGCCCATGAAGTAGAGGGACTGGGCTCCAGCTGACCTAATTGAAAATCAAGTTTGCCTTGAAGGAGCCCAATCAGTAGAGAAAGCCAATCAATGGGAGCTACTAGAAACCAGCCAAGTTCCTCTGTGGATAGCCCGAGGCAGCAAGCCTAGGGCTCACAGCTGTCACCAAGTGGTGTGATAGTGCTGTGCCCGGTGTCGCGAAGTCAGGAGCGCTAACACCTGCACGTGCGAATGCTGCACAACTGGTCTTCAGGGCTATAGCAATGCCACTCGGAGGCTGATCCCCAGAGTCCCGTGGTGCCTTGCGCGGTGCCCCACCTCAGCCCAGGCTCCCTGCCAGGATGCTCCCATTCCACTGCCAGTGTGGGGGCTGCCTGCATTTCTCAGGATGAGATAGAGGCTCTGGCCTGGAGGCCACACGAATCGGGAAGGCAGTGCCCCCAGACACAGGCCACTGCCTGGGCTGGCCAGGTCTGGGGGACCAGGGCAGAAGGTGAGGCCCACTTCCTGCAGGGGTGGGTGGCAGCACTGGGGCCTCGGGGAGGGCTACTGCCCTCACAAAAGTCCTGCCATTAACCTGCTCGTCTGCAGCCGCCCAGCCCTTCACTGTGCTCTCAGAATAAAAGTCTAGATAACTCAGTGCCTGACTCGGGACCTCTCGGGAGCTACTCTCACTTCTGTGCCTGTCTCCTTACCGAGCCCACTTCCTATCACACACTTATTCCTCCAAAACACAACAGGACTCCAGCCTCACCATGGCTGAGCACTTCTCCCTGCCTGTCCTAGGGCTCAGTGACTGTTACTGAATCCAAATGGCTTCCTTAAACACAGGAAGAAATCGCTCCAGTCTGCTAAGACTGGGGCTGCACTGAAAGGACAGCCAAGCCCCTATTTCCTTGTCATGAGGTCTTTTCTCTGTCAGGATGATGGCAGTCTCTGTCACTAGACACCCAGAGGATGGAGTTTCAGTCTTAAATTCAGGATGTTTTCCTTTCCTGGTTTATCAGACTTCAAAACCCGGAGATACTTCTTGCTCCTGAAAGTTCACAATCTTCTCCTCATCCATCTCCAAGAACCTTAGTTATTCACAGAAGAGGGGCATGAGGGCCCATTCTGAGCCCGGAGGCTCCTCTCTTCTTCCCACTTTGGCTGAAAAGACCACCCAGAAATCCACAGCCAGCCTGGCCACACACGCTGGCTCCACCGCTCTTCTGTCTGAGATCAGGAAGCCGGAATTCCCTAGATGTCTAAGGCACTAACGGAAATGGCCAAATTCGGGGAAGGAGGGAAAAACTGGGAGGGGCTCAAATGTGACTTGAAAAGTTCTACCTGCTACTCAATTCCTCTTCTGATCCCTCATGTCTCTGAGGAAGCAGGATTACTCTCTGGCTATGGGTACCGTGTCCTTGAATCAGAAAGCCTCAGTGTAAAGCCTTAATCTCGCCTGACTGTTTGGCAGCATGAGTCAAGGAGAGCTGAAGAAATCCTGTCACCTCTGATCATCAGTGGCTTATGCCGACCTGGGGTCTAGATGGGAGGGACCCAGGGAAGTGGCCAGCCTAGAGGTCCCCGGGGCAGCAGGTGGGCCGGGTGCCGCAGACTTACCCCTGACAGTTTTCGAGGAAAAGGAGGCTGGGCTTCAGGAGCGGGAAGTGGAGGAGTGCTGGCCGAAGTGCTATCGGGGGCAGGAGGTTCTAGGGCACGTGGGCCAGCTGACTCGGGGTGACCCGTGCCATGGTGGGGGGCCTCAGCACCCCCCTGAGGCTCCTCTCCTGAATCGGACAAGTCTTTTTGCTCTGCAGAGGACTGGGAGCAAAAAAGACAATTTTCCTTCAATGTAAACAAAAGCTGCACCACAGGGCAGGGGAGGGGAGGGCGGGGCGGAGGCCTGGGCAGGGGAGCTGGAGATGGCCTGACCTGGGAGGATGGGCCCAAGAGCCAGCATCTGCCACCGCGCTTTGAGTGACAAAGCTGGCACTTGGAGGCAAAAGAGGGAAGATGAAAACAGACTTGTTGCTGCTTGATTTTTTGCAGGGGGTTCTGAGGTATCTAGGAAGTCTAGGCCTTTTGTTTCAAGACTATGTGGCACCTGGGCACGGAGCTATTCTGCTTATGGGCCCTGAGGGAGGAAAAACACTCCCAGTGAGCAAGTAAAGGAAATGGTTATGCTTTCTTTACTCTTGGAAATACCCCCATGGAGTGGGTAAGACCGGGGACCCACACTTAGGGGCCTTGCAGCTCAATGCTGTTCTTCCTGTACCTTTCTGCCAGCACGCTCTCACTAGAGGGGACACTGTGCCTTCTGGCCCGATCGGGTGAATCGGGGAGGAGTTCCACGCTTAGCCCCTTGGGCCTGGGATTCTCCTAGGCTCACCCCGAAAGCCCAGGAAAGAGCTTATGGGGAAAAATTTCAAAGCAAGAGAAAGTTACTTCTGGAAGTCTTTGACTCCAAGGTTTAACACCCTGGCACTCCAAGGTAGCCTTGGGGGTCCCTCCATGGGCTGGGAGCTCTGTCACCACCTCACCAAGACTCTTCTGGAGAAGCAGCTTACAGACCTGCTGTCCCGACGCCGGGCTTGGTCCCCAAACCTCCCATGTGATGCCGTGCAAAATGCAGAGCTGTTTCTCTCACATGGTGACCTAAGTTGACTACGGGGCTGCCCCGTCTCCATGGTGATGTGTCTTCATGTCTTCTAAGTATGAACTGATTCCCTTCTAAAAAGGACACTGCTGTTATGTTGTTTTAGAGAGAGGTTCTTGCCTTGTTGCCTAGACTGGGCTCAAATTCCTGAGCTCAAGGAGATCCTCCTGCCTCAGCCTCCTGAGTAGCTGAGACTAGAAGACCATGGTCAGAGCACCCAGTCTGGGCACTATTTTCTTGGGGGGTGGCACTGCCTTTGAAGTGTATGATGGTGTAGAAGGAGATGATGTATGTAAAGAGGATTTAACAGAACTTCCAAAAATTCTTAGGAAAACCAAAGCAATCCAACATTAACTCATTCCTGCATCTTAAGTCACCAAAGCAGCACTGTCAACTCTTCTATCTAGGGGCACCCAGGGACGCAGAGGGCTTCTGAGGGACATGGTGGTCAGTCCAGCCACCAACATCTGCAGCTACTTTATGACACAGATTTAACACTTCACCAGGGAAAATTAAACCCAGAGCTCTTTGGGCAGCTGCCTGTCTCTAATAAGAACCACTTGCATTTTTTTAACCCGCTTTTGGAATGTAAATGCTCAAACAGCCATTGACAGGCTTAAGGGGCAAGTCTAAGGAGGAGGCCCAAAATGAGATCAAATCCTCCATCTCTGGTTAAAAATAAATAATTCTTAAAAGTGCTGAGAAATGTAGCATCACTTCTCTCATAGACTGAGCAAATTTCTTGGAGAATTAACAGAACACCCTTCCTGCATCTTCCCAATGGGTCCTAGATTTTCTCCCAGGCAACAATTACGTGCCAGGCCTTCCACATAACCCTGAAATATACTTTACCGACTGAAAATATAAGTGGCAAGCCTGTCCCCCTGACAGTAAGTATCAAACATACTAGGACAGGGTTTTCGGTGACACTGTGGTTTCTGCTATGCAGCCTGTCTGCAACTGTCTGTTTGCCAAATGGCATCATCCTTGCCAGGGTGACCCTGAAATCCCTCCGTGACATTTAGAAATGCTCGAGCCGGGCGTGGTGGCTACGCCTGTAACCCTAGCACTCAGGAGGCTGAGGCATGAGGATCGCTATGAGTTTGAGACCAGCCTGGGCTACATAGTGAGTTCCAGGTCAGTCTCAATTACATATGAGACCCTGTCTCAAAACACCAAAAAAAAAAAGGGATAGGCTCCCTGACAAAAAAAAAAAAAAAAAAAAAAAAAAAAAAAAAAAAAAGAAAAGAAATGCTAGAAAAGGAGACCACTAAAAGCAGAACTTGGTCAACCAGAAACCATGAAGCAATCCTCCTAAAGAAACTTAAACTCATTTCACATAAAAAAGACAAGGAAGGGCCAGGGATTTAGTTCATTGGTGCCACTGCTTGCCTTGAAAGCGCAAGGACCTGAGTTCAATCCCTGGTACCACCCCCCCAAAAAAAAAGATAAGGAGAAAAGTCTCCATTCAAGGCGGTCTGGAAAGAAAGCCCCCACCACACACACATACACTGCCGCACGTGCAAGCCCATGTTTCAGGGAAGCGCTGTCTGAGTGATGAGAGCACAGGGAAATCCATAAAACCCTGGTGCTGGCTGACTGGCCATGGAGTCTCCTTCTGTGTCAGGACTGGGATTAAAATGACTCGCCGTTTTTCTAAAATGGAACAGAAGGATCTAGTAACTCGACCCAAGGCTAAGAGACGCCACCGGCCTCCGCAGGGCACTCTGGGTGACTCTGTCATTGAACAAAAACAGAAACTCTTGGGCTGGCACCTTAGCTTCTTTCTACCTCAAATCCTTATCTCAGACATGAGGCCGCAGTGGGTTCTTTCATACACCCCAGATGGGGGGGCCTGAGACTATCAAGGAGCTCCCACCGTGGACAATGGGCATTCTTGATCTTTAGGGGTCAAAAGGTTAAGAAAATTGCCAGAAGAGACATTAGAGGGACAATTCAAAATATGGGCTATGTATTTAAGGCTTTTACTGAATTCATCACCACTGCTTAGGCGTGCACAGTCTAGCAGCCACGGAAGCCCTGCAGCTCAGACACACCTGTGGACGTAGGTGAGGGAAACACCACACAGGCACAGCACAGAGCCAGGGCAACTGACAGAAAGGTCCACAGTGAAGCCAGGTGAAGGATAGCTAAATGTTCCCAGTACATTCTTGTCTTTTCCAAGTATTTGAGAATTTTGAAAATAAAAATTCAAAAATGTAAAAGTAAAATGTTGAGGCAAAAGGGTGAAAAAAGATAAAGAGCCTGCCAAAGAGCCTCCACAGCCCATACGATTCTCCAGACTGGCTTTTGTGGCAAGACAGGATGGGACTGATGGTCTCTGTCAGAGGAAATGGTCTCGTACTCTTGTTTTTTTGTTTTTTGGTTTTTTTTTTTCCTTTGGTACCAGGGATTGAACTGGGGTCCTTCCACTTGCAAGGCAGGTGTCGGAACCACTGAGCCAAATCCCTGGCCCTCGTACTCTTTTGACTGAAACTCTGTGGCTAAGCCTGACATGATGGCGCACACCTGTCATTCCAGCACTTGGGAGGCTGAGGCAGGAGGACCACCACAAGTTTGAGACCAGCCTGGGCTACACAGTGACTTCAAAGCCAGCCTGAACTACACAGTGAGACCCTGTCTCAAAAACAAAACAAAACAAAACATTGTGGCTGCTCCTCACAGGCCTGATTCCTGTGACCTTTGTGTTAGGAAGCCAAAGAGAGGCCAGGCCAGACTAATACCTACCCTACTATGCTCACCTTCTGCCTTACTCTGAGTGCACAAGAAGCAAGGAAGGCACAGCAGACTGCACCCACGCAGACAGCAGGCCGGCCCAGCCAAGAGCTTCTGGCTCTGCCCTCAAAACAGAGACGATGCAATCAGTGTGTCCGGATCTTGCTGCGGAAGCTCACAGAAGCCAGAAAAGCCGGCACTGAACTCTACATGCAGAGGGCAGTTATTTTTAGAAATCTACTTGGAATCGGCTCCAGTCAATACTTTGATAGGAATCCTTGCACATTTCTTAAATGACTGGGAAGCCTTTCTAGCTACTGTTCTGGTTCATGTTCAAGCCAACCCTTTAAGATAATTTGTATAAACCCCTTGAAGGTCTTCATGTCCTCCAGCCAAACCCCCTTAGCTGTCAAAACAGTCCTGACATGGGAGCTAGTGATTTTTAAAGCACTTTAAATTCATCTTCACAAATGCTACATTTTAGTTTCAGCTTGCTAGCTGTCCTAAAGTCTTCAGGTTTAAAGAATTAATTCCTTTAGTTGCTCTAAATTAGAGGTTGGCAAACATTTTATTCTGTAAAAGTGTCAGAAAGATATGCAATGTCCTTTTTTCTGTTAGTGCTGAAGATGGAACCCATGGCACTGCGCCCGCTAAGCATGTACCCTACCACTGAGCTACACCCCAATTCTAATCGCCTTCCTCTCTGCAGTCTGCACGGTCTCTGTCCACACCCCGCTGCTGAGCAGAGACCATGAAGGCGAAGGTGTTTCACTACCACCGTTTACAAAACAGGCAATGGTGGGGGGCTGCTCAGTTTGCTGATCTCTGTTTTAAACTAAAACTGGTCCAAATGATCATAATGAAATCCAAGATTCTTGAAAAGAAAGAAATGCCCTGGGTACCTAAGACACATCCAATTCCCAAGACTTTATTTATTATTCTGTATTTGCGAACTAAAGCCCCTTCACACCGATCAGTCTCGGAAAGGACAAACACTGAGAACATGTGGACTTCAGCCACATTGTCAGGACCCAGGAGGGACATGACAGTAATGAGAACCCTTCCTAGGTCACCAAAACACACTGGAAGAAAGCTTTCACAGGCAGCTTCCCTCTTTCTTCAGCAGAACAATTAGCAACAGGAAAGTCTAAGAGAGAAGAGCCTAAGCAGTTAAAGTTACAGGGCTAACACGTTGGCCAGGCAAGCACAGAAGTCCGTGGGGAGCGGGTGTCGAGGCGGCCTTTTGCTCCCTACACACACACATGCATGCACGTACGCACCCTTCCTCTCACCCCTTCCTGGCAGATCACTGGAATACCGCCTGGGAAAATCAGGCCACACAATGAGAAAGAAGCCCTGGCTTCTCTTCTCAGACCAAGGGGCAGGATCTAAGAATAGCAGCTGAGCTGCTCGGAGTCCCAAATCACCAGACCCGTAGCAACTCCCACATTGGCAGTGGGACCCCGGAAGAGGCCTGGGAATCCACCAAGCACCATGATGAGGATGAGACACTCGAGCCCCATCATTCTTGAGAAGATACAAATATACCTCAGAATCCCTGATTTAGTGCACTGCTTTGTTGCTATAAAATACTGCAAGAGGTATTAAATCACATCCACTTTCAGGTCAAGGGACATCAGTGGTGAGGGACCCTACAAATCTGAGATAGTCACGCGTCACAAGAGCTACTTGTCCTGCTGTGCGGCATCAAATAACTTCTGACATGACCTTGCTCCTGGTTTCCAGGGTGTGTATAAAGCAACGGCTTCACAGTAAACAGCAGCTCCAGTAGCCGCTATCTCAAGCTGGGGTCTGCGGCGTGACACTCAGACCCCCGAGGGGCTGCTGCTCACCACTGCTCACCACGTCAGGCCTTTGTAGAACAGTGCACACAGGATGGGGGGATGCAAGAGCAATGGGACAAATATCATGCAAGCAAACTCATTACCATTCTGAACACGTCGATGCCACATTGGGTGGGGTGCGTCATCGCCCTAAAATGTGTGGCGATGCTGGAATGGAACCCACTGAGCTCACTCGACACCCTGGACGTCTACAGACCCTGCTTCCCCCTAACCAGCACTGTTCTCCTTCCTTCACCTTCTCCTCCTGTTCCCTTCCTCTGCTGTGGTCTTCCTAATGCACAGTGGCATTTCTAAAACGTCACAAATCAACGGGCATCCAAAGCCATGCGCTCTGAGCCCTGTCCAGGGAAACCCAAAGCCACTGGGCTTCTCCCTCCCAGCTTGAGGTGCAGGTCAAGGCCCCTGCTTGGGCCACCCCGTCAGAGGGCAGCAGCTGCCCGGCCGAGCAACCTGGAGAGCAGCTCTCTGGAAGAGAGCAAACCGGAGAAATGGTGTGAGAAGAGAACATACCGGCCCTTACCTTTTGTCCTTTATCCTTCTGAAACACAAAGACGGGCGGAGCAATGGCAGGCTTTTCTGCAAAAAGAAAAATTAGTTTTTTTCCCCCCAACACTATGTTCACACAACAAACAAAGCTAAATTTGTTTGTAATCAGTTAAAAATATATATACACAGAGATACTAGTAATTCCACAGAACATCAAATCGCGTACAACAGCTTCTTCCTGGGAATGTGGATGGGTGTGATCAGCTGGGAAGAACACGGCACTGAATATATGATCTGTGCCCCTTCGTGAAAATCTGATCATCGGCAAATCCCATCAAGAGTCCCGAGGACAGGCATGTACAGGAGACCTACAGGGTGCTGGGAAGCTGCTGTCCCAGATCTTCACGTGGCATCTCCCGAATCCCAAAGGTTGGAGACTCATTTAGCTGTGATGTTTTTTAAGTTTGCAGGCCAGAGAATGACCAGGCTGCAGCCTCTGGCCATGTGGCTCATTTCTCTGGGGAGAATACTGGTCAGATAATCCCAATATCAGGCCTGGGTCACCACAGGAACATGAAAGAAAGGATCTGGGGAGTTGCCAAGTCTGAGAGTCCACCTTGGCAGGTGCTGTGAAGGAAGAAACACTCTGGGACGCTTGACCACCCGACAAGAGCAATGCAACCTCCGGCCGCCACAGGACACCATGTCTCCTGCCTGGGCCCACAGCCCCTGGCTACTCAGCCCTGCTCAGGAAGCCTCTGCTGCCGTCCTGGTGCATGCTGACAGGGACACCTGGACCCCACAGGAGAGGTCCAGCTTCTGCAGCCTCATGGCCTCACCCTGAGTACAAACCAAGGAGCCTTTTGAGTGGGGTGTACTCAGGGCCTCCTCCACCATTATTCATGGCACAGAGGGAGGGTGTGAGTAAGGGGCTGTGGCACAGGAGCTGGTAATCTGGTGGGCACGTGCTGTGCGTTCTGTTCTGGTGTCTCCGAGGCAGGCAGGACTGAGTCCGGCCAAGATCTCCTGGGGCCCTGTCCTGGGAGTCAGATGTCACCCTAGGAAGCGTGCGTGAGCACAGCATTACCATGTGGGAGCGCTCGTGTAGGGTGCAGACTTGGGCACAGTGCTTAGGATGGTGGAGTAAGGGTGAGGCCAGGCTCAGGATCTGGGAAGCATTGTTTCTAATAAAAGATATTTGAGGAGGGGGATGAGGGTAGATGTACAGAGACTGGGGGTGTGATGTGGTGTGGTGACTGTGATCATGGGAGAAAAATGGGCCGTGAAGCAGGTTTGAGGAAAGGAAGGGACAGTACCAAGGCAATCAAATAAACGCTACGCACTCCCCAGCCCCCAGACCCATTCCTTGGGGCCACAGATTGCAGACAAGCAGCCTACTGGTGATGACATTCCTGCCACCACGCCCCTCCAGCCCCACTGTATGGGTCCACTTGAGTTGGACTTATCAAGCGTGGCCCAAGGCATGTGACAGGCACGAGAACCCAGTGCCACCAGGGGGAGGGAGGTTTCCCTTCCCCTCTTCCCTAAACTGCCATCTCCCTGGACATACTCCAATGAATAAATGAACAAATGAATGTTCCTCTGTCAGAAAGTGACACCAAACAGGCTCTGGGGCCAGAGCAGAGCTTATCTGTATCACATCTGCAGCCAGGGATCCCGGTGCCCCATAAGCCCAGGTCCACTCTGCACCCCACTCCTTGGCTCTGTATGACACAGCAGGAAGCCAGGGTTTCAGCCAGCTAAGCGTCCCCTCAACCTTCATCTTCTTTAAGGAATCAGCCCACCTTTGGCCCAGCTCCAGGCCTGACAAGGACAGCATTGCCTACCCCGAGGACCTGGCATATGAATACAGCCGGGCCTTTTTTAGGGGCCACCAGGGAAGAGGTGAGTTTCTGCTGGGATTGTTGAGCTGATGATATAAGATCTCGGGCTACAGGTAGCCACATGTCATCACCGGGGGCCTCAGACCAGAGGGAAGCTGAGCTAGGGACAGACAGGGAAGGCCAAATCCTGGTGATACTGGTGGAGGCCTTGAGCTGGGCTTGTGCAGAGCTAACTCTGCCCCAGTCTGAGCTAGCCGTCTACCCTCGTCACAAACACACTGCGGCCTGGGAGGGGTGCTCTTGCTGTTGCTGACTCCATTCAATGGCCGGTATACTCAGGAATCCTGTGGGAGAACCCAGACCAGCCTTCAAGTAAAGCTAAAATGGTTTATTTTCCTCCCTAGCAAGTATAGCCACTAGACCCACCATACATTCATAGGTTTAGGGTCTGTATCCCTAGAAGATCAGAGACTGCTTATTTACTCCGCATCACATGGTCTAAGCACTTGCCACACTGTGGGGCATCAACAAATATCTGAAGAGATGAGTGAGAGGAAGGCACAGAGAAGGTGGGAAAGACAGGCAACCCTCAGGACCACATGGCAGGGTGTGGGCTGAGAGGACCAACAATGCAAGGACAACCGACTCCTCCTGAGCACACTGCTCAGCTGGGGACAGAACGGGGCTCTGGGGGTTAAGGCCTGAAAGCTGCCAGTCAGACATCCGATCAAATTCTCCCAAATTAGCTCTGGGTCCTGGACCTGAGCCCACGCACCATCTGGATCTTCTTTTCTTTCTCTACCTCTTCTCTCAGGCACTAGAGCAGTCCTCCACAGAGCGGACAGAACCACTGGTGGGAAATGTACACTTAAAAACACAATGCGCTGCGCTTGATAAGGGTCTGGGCTCCTTCCGATGAGCTACTCTCACCACTGCCCCCCACCCAACACTGAGTGTTGCCGTGGCACTGAGAGCCTGCTGCCTCTGCCTGCCCTGAACGGTGGCACACTTCTGCACACCTGCACATGGTCACTGCCTTTTGCGTGGCCAACACAGTCTCCTGCAGACGTGGACTCCTTCCGGAGGCTCCTGGGGTGACTCCACACCTGCCCACTGTACTGCTCCTCTGCCTTGCATCCTGCCACAGGTCACCTGGGGCCACTTTCCAGGGAGGCTGAGAGACCGGTCCCTGCACAGCTGTCCCCAGTGTACCTAAAAGTAATCTACTCAGTCTATTTCACATATACACCACCAGCTGCCATGTAATCACACACATATTTATCAAGCCCTTAGTCTGTGCTAGGCACTACAGGAAAAATGGAGAACAGGAAGCCGAGAGCAGAAGGCTTTGGTGGATTAAAATGGAGGGGTGTGTCTGCACCTGGCAGCCTGCCCAGTGGAGCCTTGGAGCTCTGAGACAGGTCTGTCTAGGGCCTGTCTGCTGTGGCGGCACCTATCCCAGATGTCAGTGCACAAGTGTGGGCCTCGTCTGTTCCGTTCCCCTCTGTACCCTCAGGGCCAAACATAGAGCCTTACAAACAGTGGCACTCAACAAGCAGTGTCCAATACCACAGTGACTAAAGCCTGGTGAGGCACAGTAAGGGTCCCTGGGGACAGAACCAATGTGATGTACCAACAGAGATGATGGCTACTGCCCCAGTCACGGAGCCCTGCTGATGGCAGGTCTGGCATTCACACTACCCTAACTATTGTACTAGCTGAACACTGAAAGGACCCTCAGTCTCATCTCTACTGGAAACAAAGTACCAGATGCAGATGCGCACTGCATCTCTGCTTTGGCTTGGAACGCAAGTCTGTAAACTCCCAGAAAGACCACGCTCACAAGCCCTGGCCCAAGGAGGGCTGCCCAGGCTCCCCTTGGAATCAGCCTGCTAGTCAGGCCGGGAGTAAATGGCAACCATGCTATTACACAGATGGAGACCAGAAGAGGCACCGTTACTATATCCTGCTCTAATCCCTGTCCAGCTCCCTAACAGCAAAGGGTGACCCAACACTGGACACGGCTAGCCAGGCCACCATGCAAGCCTACCTCGTTAAAACATTAATCAAATTCATTCTTCACCCAGACTCTGCCAATCAAGTGCTCTCCTGTTTTCGGAGGGAGGGAGAGGTCCTAGGAAATGCTCCCTGATCAAATCAGCTGGTGTAAAAGTAGCCTACCTGGAGATGGACCCAAGGCATCAGCATAAGGAACCCCCTGCCACCATCAAATGCACCGAGGCCCTGCAATCCACACATGGGTGGCGGCCACCCTGGTGAGGGAAGTGAGGATTCACTTCCTCCTCTGACTCCAAGTCACTTTGACAACCCGGCAACACAGGGTGGGGTGGGCTGTACTGTCCAGGACATGTGAGGTGTTTCCCCTCTTCTCACCAAGGACTCCCAGGCCCCAAAGTCAAGAGAGAGCAAGAGAGCAGGGGCCAGAACCCCACTGTGGTCCTGGGTAGACACCTGGTTTCCACCTGTCTTGGATCCTGTCTTTAGGGTTTTCCCAGTTCCTGCCGTGCTGTTCACGGCAAACATACCCTGCTGCCTCACACACCGCTATTTCAGGCACCAGGCTTCATCCTCTGCAGACAGCTGACACCAAAACCCTTTGACAAGAAAGGAATCAGAGACAGAGAGGGCCAGTGACTTGTCGAAGCTGTGGCCGGGTCTCCAACCCCGGTGGTCCTGTCTCACCCATGTTCCCAAGCACAGGGCCATGTCACACGCTCCCACACACCTCAACGCCAAAGGCGGGGAGTGAGCCCTGTCCCAGTCTGCTGCTCCCCTCCCCCGAGCAGTGCAGCCCAGAGATGTGAAGCAGAGACCTTTTTCTTTTGAGAGATGACATCAGAAAAAAAAAGCAGCTGTCTGTTAAGATTCTGGATAACCACCTGGGGAAGAGTAAGCTAAACCAGGAGTGGAAGATGAGTTCTGGGGTCAGGGCAAGGCTGGTTCTCCCATCATGTGCCTCCGCCCCCAAGAACATAGTGTGCAATTACGTTGAGAAAGGAGTCAGACACACTGCAAGGTACACACTTCATGGTGAAACAAGTTGCATTCTGAGTCGGTCTGTCAGTGCTAAACCACAGAATGCTTTGCATGGCCCATCAGAATCCACACTGATAATGCACTGCTCCACCTCCTCCTCCACAAACTTCCTTCTCTGCTTGGGAGGGAGTAATGTAAGCGGATGATGCCTGGTCTTGCTGCCCCACAATGAGTTCAGCACCTCCTGCC